AAAATGGTCTTGTCCATGTTATATCTGAAATATTGAACCTGGTTGTTATGCATTTTAAAGTCAGTAGCTATCAAGTAAGATAAATAGAAAAAAAAATAGTAAAAATATCTAAATGCCTTCTCTCAAAGAGCTGAATATATGTTCATTTTTCAACAATTTTCCGCGGCACACAATTGCCTATTTTTGGGGCGTTTTTGGGTCATTAGTAAAATAAGAAGGAATGGAGATACACAAGTGAAATTATGGGAATATGTCAAAAAGTTTGTGAATTTTTAAAATTACATATTTTTAATCCGCCATATATTATCAATTTTGGTTGTCATAGCAACCAAAATGGAAAAAATGCAATTTTTGACCATTTTCAACGCTGTTTACCACGACCCAAAAAGTGATCACCACATTTAAAAATAAGCATTTTGAAATATTTGAAACCCATATAATGTCAAATGATATGGATTGTATAAGTTTGAGCAAAATATTAAGGAGTTTGAGTGGTTACCATAGCAACCACTGTATATTTTTTTTAAAAAAGCATTATTTTTCAATAATTATGACATCAATATTGATAATTGTATTATCTAAAATCAGAAGCTATTGGGCAAGATTTTGAAAACATTCCACGGTAGCAAATTGCCCTTTTATTTGGCTGGCATTAAGACATACTGTAGTAAATGAAATATGAAGGAATTGAAATTTTGAAGTGAATTATGTTTACAAGTCCAGAAGTTTGTGAATATTAAAAATTACATATCTTTACTCTTGTATATTTAACATATATTTTGTTGTCAGCAACCAAAACGAAAAACAAACCCCAAAAATGCAATTTTATAGCCTATCATTTTGAATGGTACGTGTTTTTACCATAATGAAACATGTGATCACTGATCACCCATTTTAAAGAAAGCTTTTAGCATCTAAAAGCAATGTGATATCAAATGTTATAAATTGTATAATTGTTATAAATTGCATAATTTTTAGTAAAATATTAAGAACTTTGGGTGGTTGCCATAGCAACTATATAATTTTAAAAATAACATACTGGTAACTCACTAACTGTTGTTTCACTATTGTTTGTTCTCTGCATGTATTGCTTACATGTTACAAGAAGATTTCTATTTTGTATATACATTATTATCTAACAACATTGACCAATAAAAACAAATTATTTGTGGTGCATCTAAATAATTCTCTAAAACTTTAAAAAAAGACTAGGTAGGTACCCATACGACAGTAGGCTAAGGTACATGTAGCCCTAGGATGGCACTAATGCTAGGATTTTGACTGGAAGAATTGTTTTGTTTTTACAATGCAGGTCTATTTTACATTTGAACATTTTCATTATTCCTCCAAATGTAGACTATCGTGGAGCAACTCCCTTTTTTTATTCGTATATTTTCGTCAACAACATCAAATCTAGGCCTATTAAATTTAATAAAGCCTTCACCCTGTGTTTGTCGGCCTAGATTCAATTTGTTTTTTACTGGCTAACAAATAAAATTTGGTGTTAAATACATGTATTTTCCCAAAATTACAATGAATTTAAACATATAAATAATTAGTATGAAAACCGATATATAATGATAAAATATTGAATAAATTGCCTTTGTAACTGTACGGCCATTTTATTGACTTACCACGGCACTAATCTCAAACGAAATGTTGTAAATCGTCAACGGAGATTCCAGAATTTGAGCCATTGTTAATTCTTTTGCCATTCCAACTTTATTTGGGTATTACAGTGGTCAGAAATCATGTTATTATTATCCGTAACTCCGTTCCTTCAGATGAATACAAGTCGCAACCGGAAATGGTTCTCCTATACCGTGTTGATATTTTTCGATTTCATTTTCATTCGTGTGCACATTAAATACTTCAAATTAGGCATGAACAACAGAGAATTGAGTAATTCAGAACATTGAAATACTTGTCTATGTTAGGCAATTTTTTAACGGTTGAAAAATATTTGGTGTTAAACGTAAAGGCATGTGTAATAGGAGCTGAGACGAGAGGAAATTTCCCTTTGATAAAAGCGCGCGAATATGAGTCATGTGATGTAAACATTGTGGATCCTTGTCGAGATCAGGTACAAAATAATGGAATTATCTATCATTATGTCTTTTCAGGCAAGTCATTTATTCATATAACATAATGCTTATTTCATAAATGAACAATGAGTTGCATTTAGACGTAATTTACCGTGAATATGGGTCTTAGGAACTTGAAATTATTTTTTTCTTCGTGCGTTGAAATGACGTCATCACATGCCAAACTACGTTATTAATTATTTTCCAAAACATTTTCCGATGTATACCATTTTCAAATGCTCGGCGAGGTCACTTAATATTTTAATAGCATCGAAACGGCAATAAAACAATCTTTCGATTGGTCGGCGGTGCTATATTGGCAAATTTCCTCAAAAAAAGATTATGTGAATTGAAGTGTTCAACTTAAAAAAAAAAGCATGGTATTTTGAAATGTCAACAAAGCACTCCCGACCGATCGAAAGATCGTTCAATTATCTTTCTAATGATATTAAAATGAAAAAGAAATATTAATAATGAGTGACCTCGCCGAGCATTTGAAGTGGGGTACCCTCATTTAAAAACGTGACAAAATTTTTCTGCGTAACGTCAAAACACGGCAAATTGACGTTTTTCAACTTACGCTTATGAAATAAATAAAACGAACACGTATATAAAAATTATATCAAACAAAAAAACATAACATCTGCTTCCAAAATATTTTTAAATTATTACAAAAGATTAAGTAGCCACTGTTTGACGTTAAGTTAAAAAAGGGTTACAAATCCGGAAAAAACGACTTTCTTCCAACGCGGGCAATGGAGCTGTGACACCTAATAATAGATAATAATATCTATATTTTAACACTATTGACCATTATGACGATGTCGCGGCGATGTCATTACCACCTAAATAAATAGACACGGTCACCAGTTTCATCCCACATATTAATATGCATATGTTTATATTTATTTTTTCATGTCAACGATTAAGTTATTGCATATATACTTAATGGGCGATGTTTTAGTTTAAAATTAACGAAATTGTACATGTTTATTACAAATGTGTAATGCTCTACACGTATATACATCCCACCTGACTTAACAATTAATCAATGGGGTTAAGATTGTTGATTGGGTAATCAAGTTCTGGTTTATTTATATTATCAAAGAAACTGACAGAGCTGTAACAGGCTGCAAATGATAGTTTTGATGAACTGAGATGTGTCGCGTCGAGAAGTACACACTAGAAAGAAACATGTGCAATTTCGTTAATTTTCAAATAAAACATCGTGCAGTAAGTAAATGCACAATAACTTAACAGTTGATATGAAAAAATGAATATAAATATTATGCAATTGTTTTGTTAAAGCATTAATTTTAAAATGAATACAAACAATCGACACTAACTAGGTAATTTCGGGACTAACATATAGTTAAATATTATTTCATTAACTCGCTTGAGCGAAGGGGTGTTTAACAGTGAGATGAAACCGGGGGACCCGAGAAAACCCACCTTGTTTGACAGACGACCTTATCAAGTGGCAACAGATAGATGGGTCATTTTGGGAATAAAATGTAGTATATTGTCATACTTGTTTTTCTTATTTTAAGTTTGTCGATTGGAAACCTACCGCAAAGCCAAAGAAGATTATTAAAACGAGTAGCAATCTAAAATCAATTTACCGGTTGTAAAGGGAGATAACTGTGTAAAAATTACAATTTTCTGCAAAATATGTGCTGTTATTTGACAATATTAGGTTGTTATTTGATCATATTTGGTAGTATTTGGTAGTATCGGCTTATTATTAGCTTTTTTGGGGTGGTATAGGGAGGCAAATGGAACAGCCAGACATCGGTATCGCATTTGAAGTACATTTCTCGCGATATAACTCTCTATTTTTGAAAAAAAATCAAATGATATGTCAATATTGCATCATTATGTTGTAGTATTGGGTAGTATGTGGTGATATTGAGATGGTATTGGGTAGTATTGGGTAAATCGTCCCACCCAAAAAAATGTCCCAACCGAGTTGGAACCACGCCTTGGGTGTTGTCTTTGGTTTATACTATGAGAAAATCATGGGTTTAGATATCTAGATTGAAGGTTGCTAAGGATTACTGAGTGAAATTTCTTCTAATAATGTCCCAATACTTTGAAGTCCATTTTCTCATTTTGACGTTTTTCCCATTTCGAAACACCCACAAACTTCAAAATATCATAAAATTCTTATCCCTGGTCCTAATTTATAAAAAGAGTTACATATTTGGAAAGCTCAGACTGTAGACTATGCAAATATGCTATCAACTCATTTTTCATAAAAAATGACCAAGCGACTGGTTTTGTGGGAGCAGCTTACATATTTGAAGTTTCGTCAAAATCGAGTAAGAATTGTGACCTGTAGAGTGTCCACAAACAAATTGTGGACGGACGGACAGGGGCGACGACAATATACGTCCACATGAAAATGTGGGCATATAAAAATAATATTAAAAATAGAAACCGTCGCCGAGCACTTGAAGTGGGGTACCCTCGTTTCAAAACGTGACATTTTTTTTTACTGTAACGTCAAAACACATGAAATTGACATTTTTTAACTTAAGTTTTTGAAATTAAGGAACACATATATAAAAATTATATCAAACAAAAAGAACAGTTCATCTGCTTCCAAAATAGTTTTAAATTATTACAAATAATTAAATAGCGACTGTGTGACATTAAGTTGAAAAAAGGTTACAAATCTGGAAAAAATGACTTTCTTCCAACGCGAGCAATGGAGCTGTGACACCTACTTAAATACAAAGAACTTTATAAAAGATAAGATGTCTGTTTTGCACAACATCATTCATAAAGTTAATTAGTGGTTCAATAAGTTTCTATAAAATAATTCCTTCAAAATTAAATACATGAATACATTTAGTTATTAAAACCTACTGTGATATATATTTATATTATCAATGTTACAGTTGTATAACCCACCTGTTGAGATAAGATGTTCCGGAACTAGATATTTCTTCTTGACCAGACGTACAGTAGAAAAACATAGGTTTATCAGGTGTAGGCCAGGGAAAATCTAAAGCTCGGATAGTTCGTTCACCTAGATAATAACACAAATTGTTGGAATAATTCATTTTAACAGAAATAGATTTAAGATGAATCTCCAAAATACATCACTGGCCAATTCCACTTAATACCAATCTGACCACAGGACAATAAATTGCTTCACAATGGAATGATGTTTGACATTTCTTCAACTGTAAATGGGTACTACTACCTACCATGCAACCAGTGTAGTTAAGGTATCAAATGATATATAGGGATAAGAGTTAATAAGACCTAAATGTTTGGTTCAGGTCTCTGACCAAGACTTCCAATAAATGATATATAGGGATAAGAGTTAATAAGACCTAAATGTTTGGTTCAGGTCTCTGACCAAGACTTCCAATAAATGTATTATACAAAAACGTAAAGTTAATCAGATGATAACTTAAACTGTTCGAGGTATCAGAAACATTGAAAATATATAGGCTCCTTTGTCTCATGAACATAAACACTCGTTTAAATTCAATGTTAACAACCGTTTTGGGGGACTAGGTTAAACATGAGGTGTCACATCATTTTGTTCAAGTTAGTCATATATTTAGAAACTAGTCAGATTGACTAGAAATGACTAGAAATGTATCTTAGAAAGAACTAAAACAACTTTCTAACCTCCAAACTTAACTAAAATACACTCAAGAAGCTGACAAGGGACAGAGCTTGTTGCATCTTGTCCAGGGGCGCAGATTGCCAAAAATTAGTGGTGGGGACAGTCCATGCGCGGGCGACAATTGGTAAAGAGGGGGGTTGGGGCGTCCTCCCTCAAAATTTTTGAAAACTAGACGCTCTAAAACGCACTTTGTTAGTATTTTCAGCATCATTTTCTGGCAAACAATTCTAATCCCTGAGGCAGCAAATGATACGAAATCTAATCAAAAGACAAATCTTCAAGCCACCGTTCACGATTTATTCTCTCATGTACACTACAAGAACTAGAAATATTTACACTACTGAGATTCCAGCTCCGTCTCCATTCCCAGTAGTGTTCGAAGACTACGTAAAGTCTTTGAGCAAAATGTGTATTCAATTGGATACACAAATGTACAGGCCAACAAATATTTTAATTTATATAAACTAAAACAAGCCACACACAGCAGCTAAACTTATCAATATTCAATCCCAATTGAAATAAATGTAACATTTTACTGTATTATTCATTGGTGATTAAAAATCCGATGGCAAAGGCGAATTTTCCCACGTTAAAATTCAAAGATAGGTTGCCAGGCAACGAAACATACGCCCACAGCAGCTAAATCGTCCGAGCAGTCAACAAGAGTTTTTATTTTTATATCAAAATTCATTGAAAATCAATATAATTGTTTGTCTCAAGACTTTAAACTCTGTGTATCAATCTGAAGTCAATCGGATGATAACTTTAGCCTCTAGAGCGTCACAAGATTTTTCAAAGTGATCAAGGGCCATAACTCTGGCAGTAATTATCGGAAACCGTTGAAAATCAATATGATTCTTCGTCTCATGACCTCAAACACTGTGTATCAATTTAAAGTCAATTGGATATTATCTTTAGCCTGTAGAGCATTTACAAGATTTTTTGAAGTGATCAAGGGCCATAACTCTGGCAGTAATCATCAAAAATCGCTGAAAATAAACAGACTTCTTCGTCTCATGGCCTTAAACACTGTGTATAAATTTAAACTCAATCGGATATTAACTTTAGCCTCTAGAGCGTCCACAGGATTTTTTCAAAGTGATCAAGGGCCATAACTCTAGCAGTAATTATCGCAAATCGCTGAAATTCAATAGGCTTCTTCGTCTCATGAAGTTAAACACTGTGTATAAATTTAAATTCAATTGGATATTAACTTTAGCCTCTAGAGCGTCCAAAAGATTTATTGAATTGATCAAGGGCCATAACTCTGGCAGTAATAATCGTAAATCACTGAAATTCAATAGACTTATTCGTCTCATGACCTTAAACACTGTGCATAAATTTAAAGTCAAACGGATATTAACTTTGACCTCTAGAGCATCCCCAAATTATTTTGAAGTGATCAAGGGAAATAACTCTGGCAGTCATTATTGGAAATCGCGGAAAATCAATAGGCTTGTTCGTCTCATGACCTTAAACACTGTGTATAAATAGGTGGAAAAGGTGATTTTGAGATTATGATTATACATTTGATTTTATTAGATGTAGATGTAAATTCATGAAATACAACTTCAAGGCTAATTATGTTCTGATTTTCACATTTTTGTAACAATTACTCCGATTTCCCAAGCAACTCCAAAATACCTAGGTTTTCTCGAAAATTCTATTTTGTCAAAGTGATTTTGGTCAATTTTTTCATCAAAAATTGTCTTGTCCATGTTATATCTGAAATATTGAACCTGTTTGTTATGCATTTTATAATCAGTAGCTATCAAGTAAAATTAACAGGAAAAAAAAGAGAAAAAATATTCATGTGCCTTCTCTCACATGCAGGATATATGTTCATTTTTGAACAATTTTCCACGTGAGCAAATTGCCTATTTTTGGGGCGTTTTTTGGACATTAATAAAATAAGATGGAATGGAGATACATAAGTAAAATTATGTGAACATGTCAAAAAGTTTGTGAATTTTTAAAATTACATACTGCAAATCTGCCATATATTATCAATTCTGGTTGTCATAGCAACCAAAATGGAAAAAAATGCAATTTTCGACCATTTTCAACGCTATTTACCATAACCCAAAAAGTGATCTCCACATTTTAAAGTAAGCAATTTAAAATATTTGAAACCCATGCAATATCAAATTATATGGATTGTGTAAGTTTGAGAAAAATATGAAGGAGTTTGAGTTGTTACCATAGCAACCACAGTTGTTTTTTTTTCCAAAAGGCATTATTTTCCAATATTTATGACATCAATATTTATAATTGTATTATCTTAAAATCAGAAGCTATCAGGCAAGATTTAAAAAAAAAAATAAAATCAAAATATTTTTAGGTCTTCTCTCAACAGCAGGAAAGGGGTTCACTTTTGAAAAACATTCCTCAGTAGCAAATTGCCCATTTTGACGGTTATTATGACATAAATAAAATATGAAGGAATTGAGATATTGAAGTGAAATTTTGTTTACAAGTAAATGTGTTTGTGAATTTTTTAAAATCACATGTCTTTACTCTTGTATATTACTTAATATTTGGATGTTATAGTACCGGAAACCAAAACGAAAAACAAACCAACAAAAATGTAATGTTTATACCATTTTCAATGGTGTTTACCATACTGAATTGCAAATGATCCCCACATTTTAAGTATGATACCATACTTCATAATATTATGAATTGTGTAATTTTAGGGAAATATTAAGGACTTTGGGTGGTTGCCATAGCAACTACATAATTTTAAAAATAAGATACTGTTGTTTCACCGTCATTATTGTTCTCAGCATTCGTTGCTTTCATGTAGGCCTACATGTTACAAGAAGAATTCTACTTTGACATATTATTTCCTACTCAGTAGATAACAAAATTGACAATAAAAAGTTATTTTTGTGGTGCATAATTCTCAAAAAGTAGGCTATCGATAGGCTACAGTTAGTGTTAAGGCATTAACTGAAAGCTACAACATTATGTGGTCAAAGATAATGCGATGATTTGACTGAAAGAATTGTTTTGTTTTTACTTCACTTTTGAATTTTCATTACCGGCATTCATTCAAATCTGTATGACTCCTCTTCCTTTTTATTTTGTACATTTTCATCAATGTGAATATCAAATCAACAAGACCTAAGGCCTTACGTTTGTGGTAATTTGAATTTGTTTAAATGGCCAATAAATATAGAGCCCTTATAATTAGGTGTTAAATATATTTACCAGAAAAAAACAACAAAGAATTAAAATTATAATAATCAGGATGACAACTATAATGCTAAATTATTTAATAAAATGTTTTGCGACAATTGGTCTACGTATCGACATGACTGACCTTCACCTCGGCCTAATTCTATGTCGGTTCCATCATCTCAACCTCAAACGAAAAATCCAGAATCTGAGCCATTTTTTAAATTATTCTTAGCTAGCGTTAATTCCTTTGTTGTTCCAGCTTTATTTGGGTATAATTCCCTTTTAAGTGGATAGAAATCGTATATAGTTAAGTTGTCGTCCCTCACAGCTGCGGAATGTAGGCCTAATCATAATGGCTCTCCGAGACCCGTGTTGATTACTTGATATTTTCTGGTTTCAATTCAATTCGTGTGCAGAGTAAATGCTTTAAAATAAGCATGAATAATTCACTGAAAAGCAAATTTTTTATTCCAGTACATTAAAATACTCGTCAATGCTACGGAATATTTCAATTGTTGTTGACAAACATTTGGTGTTAAATGAAAAGACGTGTTGTGTTGTAGCTGGCAGAAAATTTCCATTCAGTGTTGAAGCGTGGGAATATGAGTCACGTGATGTCAACACAGTCGCCCTTGCAAAAGGCGTGAAAATAAATGGAATTATCAGTTACATTTCGATGTAATTTACCGAGAATACAGTTTTTCTTCGCCGTGTCTTATGACGTCATAACACGAAACAATGCGAGGTTTATTCGTTCACAAAATGTCACGTTGTATACCATTTTAGTAGCATCGGAACAGCAATAAAACGAACTTTCGATCGGTCGGTTATGGAATCTTGACAAATTGCCTCATAAAAGTGTGTGTGAATTGTTTTTTCAACTTACAAAAAATACATGGTATTTTGAAATGCCAACATTCCATAACCGACCGATCGAAAGGTCGTTCATTATCTTTCTCATGGTATCAAAATGAACAAAATATATTAATAATAAGAACTGCTGCAGAGCACTTGAAGTGGGGTACCCCCGTTTCAAAATGTGACAAAAAATTTTACCGTAACGTCAAAACACGCAAATTTGACGTTTTTCAACTTGCGTTTCTGAAATTAATAAAAAGAATAGGTATATAAAAATTATATCAAACAAAAGAATAAGATATCGGCATTCAAAATCTGTTATAAATATTAAAAAAGATTAAATAGCG